TGACTAGAACTGCTGAACTGCAGATAACAGTCAGCTGAAGTGGCCTGCAGTGCTGCACCCTAACCACTGCGCCACTTCGGCTCTTGGCTGTTGTTTCCTTCTGCTGCCAAGCCCTCTATTAAGGGCTGAAGTCGTCCATTTCCCCCATAATGATGGAATCACGAAACATCCAGTATGAGAGTGTGACATAATAACAGTTTTATCTTTCTAGTCAGAGAGTTCATATAAAGGAAGATATGTTCTACTCAGAGGATGTATTATAGTTTGCTCCTCAAAACATTCTCCGTTTCTCTTCCAGGAGCTCTTAGAAAAAAATGAAGATGACAAAAACATGCCATAGAAATACATATTTTGCACAAAGTCACTGTCTCACGTCAGAGTAAATATCATACAGCATGTAGTTTTGAATATTTTAAAATCTTTTATAAAAGTACTGCAGTCTTCAGTAGCAAAGTGACTAATCATCCAAAACTTACCCTGTACTGCATGGACTTCTATTCTAAATCAGGAATCCCAAAACTTGACCACCTTAAGACATGTGGAATGGGGAATTCTGTGAGTTGCAATCCACAAAGCCTTCAAAATTGCCAAGTTAGGAAAGCCCTTTTCTGAAACAAACATGCTAAATATGAAGTACGTTCCCCTTAGATCCTCCTAAGAATTAGGAGGCTGTTTCCCATGGTTCTTGCAAAACTAATATTCACAGGAATAAGGAAAAATGACCACATGTAATCTTGTGAGCCATTTCTTCTAGTTTAAATTTGCCCTAGACAAAAATCACAGACCAACAGAGCCATATCATCAGCTGTTGTGAACTAGTAAGAGTCAGCTGTATTTCAGGCAGTAAAGTCCCAGCCATCAATCCATCACCTCTCCTATAAATACCTCCCTTTTCACATGCATCTGCCTCAGAGGTGGGTTACTACTGGTTTGCACTGTTTCGGGCAAACCAATAGTGGAAATTGGGACTGGGTTGCCAAACCGGTAGGGACCGCAGGCTGGCCATGCCCCCAAACCGTTTCCCCAGTCACCACTGCTGCCGGCTTGGTTTTTAATCATTTTTTCATGTTCTGCACATGCACAGAACAATTTACACTCAACTACGCACACACAGCAAAGCACGCACAAAGCGAACCGGTAGTAATGCCAGCAGCAGCCCACCTCTGATCTGCATTCCCCAATTTGTTGTGCTGTTAAATGTTTTCAGGCTGAGAATCCAGAGCTCCCTGTCTTCTCCCCAGCACTTCCCAAAGTTGCTACCTTACTGCATTTTCTTTTATCATGCCAGAATAATATGGAGAAGTGACATTGACCATATTCAATTCATTAAAGTGAATTTAAAATCAGATTCCATTTTGTCCTGGCTCCATTCACTTCTTGTCTTCCCACATAGCCTTCCCAATTCTCAGCTCTACAATTTTACAGCAGAGTTGCAATAAAGGGCCTAGGTTTCAACAGCCAATTTCAGTTCTAAATTAAGAGGAAATAAACATGTGGCAATAAATTGCTATGCTATAAAGCTCCCAAGGCATGTTTCATAAGAATATCTTTTTGTGCAGTCATTAAGGTTTCTGTAGCTAGAGCTACTTGTAATATCTATTTATGTAAGAAAGCAATAGGCAGTTGCACTTGGTTTCACTGTGTATAATGAATATACTCAAACTGCTGATAAATACCAAGTCTAGCCCTACAAAACTTGTTTTATGCCTTGTAAAATCAGGCCCAGGCCATTAAGTTTTGTTAAGAAAAATCCATCTAAACCATCTATTACTAAGCTTTCATGTGCAGGGTTCCTGAGTTGAAGCAATCCATAAGAGGTCATGCCTGTTTTGAAGTTTAATTGACATTATTATCATGTGAGATGTTTGTTCCATTACAAAGGGAAGATTCATGAGGGGAGGGGCAATTAATTGAGCAATCAGAGATAACAGGATACCCATAATAGACTAAATGTAAAGGTTTTATTTTTGTGGAGTCATCACTTTTTTGGCCATTTTAGCTTCTTGATCAACGGCTCAGTGGCTAAGACCGTGAGCTTGTTGATCAGAAAGTTCAGCAGTTCGAATCCCCAGTTCCACGTAATGGAGTAAGCTCCTGTTACTTGTCCCAACTTCTGCCAACCTAGCAGTTCGAAAGCATGTAAAAAATGCAAGTAGAAAAATAGGAACCACCTTTGGTGGGAAGGTAATAGTGTTCCGTGCTCCTTTGGTGTTTAGTCATGCCAGCCACATGACCACAGAGACGTCTTCAGACAGTGTTAGCTTTTTGTCTTTAAAACGGAGATGAGCACTGCCCCTTAGGAACGACTAGCACAATCCGAGGGAAACTTTACCTTTAGCTTATTGATATGTTGCTTTTAAAACAAAAAACATTCCCAATGCATTTGAACAAGGATACTTTGGAATAAAATGCTTAAAGTATTTTTCTATTAAATAATTGGTGTTTTTTTAAAAAAAAAAAAACTGAATACATATAGCCCTTGATTTACAACCACAACTGACATCAGAATTTCCATTGCTAAGAAAGTTGAATATTAAGTGAGTTGCACCTGATTTTACATTGGTTTTTTGCCTCAGTTGTTAAGTGAATCACAGCAGTTATTTAAGTGAATCAAGTTATCATTTGGCAAATCTGGCTTCCAGTTAACTTTGCTTGTTGGAAGCCAACTCAGAAGATCACAAATGGTGACCTTGTGATTCCCAAGATGCTGCAAACATTATAAATAGAGGCTATTTGCCAAATATCCAAATTTTGATCATGTGACTATGGGGTTGTTGCAATGGTTATAAGCATGAAGACCAGTTGTAGATAACTTTTTGAGTGCTGTTGTAACTCTGAATGGTCGCTAAACAGATAGTTATTAAACTGAGGATTACCTGTAGGTGTTTTTCTGATTTCTTCTGAAAGTTTTTTGACTTCCCAGTCTAGTAGTTCCCTTCTTTGTACTAAAACAGGTTTAACCAGGGGTGGTTTTCACTTACCTTCCCTACTGGTTCGCAAATAATGTGTGCATGCACAAGCGTCCACACATTTGTCCGGGCTTCCACGCATTTGTTTTGCTCAATAAACATCCATAAATAGGACAAAATAGAGCCATGGTGGGTGGGTGGGCCCGCGATTTCCACTACCAGTTCGGGTGAATTGGTCCGATCTGGTAGAATACCATCTCTGGGTTTAACCCATTTTAACTTTTTAACATTAGTCAAAGCCAACCATGTCTTATTACCTAACTTAGCTTTTATAATTATAACTATACAAAAGCAAAACTATGCAGTATGTTTTTGGGTGCTGGGAATGTTCTCAGTTTCATCATTTTGTAGAGCTAAAGATGGCTTGTATCATAACAAAACAGATTAGCTTTTTAACACTCGTGTGAAGTGATGTAAGATCATTAAACATTTGGGATCCAAACTCTAATTTTTATAATATACTCCTATATAAAAGGTAAAATGCCTTTGCTCAGGTTTAAATGCCACTTTGGCAGAGTTTTTAAAGGAATCCCTGATTCATTTGTGCTTATAGACATTTGGAAATAGATAGGGATCTCTATGGTATGAAATCTCTAACCATGGGCAAGATCCAGGTCTCTCTTGGCCATTTACCCCACAGTAACTGCATGAAACTGCTAGGCAAGGTCATCACTATCTTGATGAGACTAAAAGATTGCCATCTCTCAGACTAAACCAGAGATGTTGCTGAGGTCTTAACCAGAATATGGAAGTCCTGGGGGACTAGATGGATTGAAATAAACTCACATTAAATTCATGCAATGTAGAGAAGCTAGTTGTAGTGGGTGGATCTGGCTCACATCTGCCAAAATTTCTACTCTAGATTAAATCATACTTCCTCAAAAGGAGCAGGTTTACAACTTGGAGGTTCTGTTGGATGCATTGCTTCTGTTCAACAGATGGACTCCTTTGGCTTCATTGGCAAGCCTTTCAGAGACTGGGAAGCTGTTAATGTCTATGGCCCTTTCCCTCATTTTCTTATATTTGGATTACCGCAATGTACTTAATGTGACCCGCTCCTCTTAATTTTGGTTGCTACATTGAGCTGCCTGGGGTCTAAATTTTAATGGTTTCTCCTGTTGTGTCATGGAAATACTTTCAGATACCTGTAAAATCCTGGGAATTTGGAGCCTTATTATATTTCTGTTGTGCCCTAAACTAACAAAACTATAAAATTTCAAAGAATCGCCAGAAAAAAACCTGCATTCTTATTATTTCTTTCAGAGGGCAGAAAAATTTTCAATGATATTTTGGCACAAAACATTTTCATTCAGACACAGGAGATGTGTAGGTTACAGTTTTTTAAAAAAACTGTTAGTAGATCTGCTTACAGCAAATTCAGCAAGGTCACAGAACCTCATTATTTGTTTAGGAAATAATTAGTTTTGCACTGCATTTCTCGGCAGGAAGTTTTTATCAAGCTGGGGAGAGGCTATATCTGGTTCAGGAAGTCACGCGTTATGCTGTGCAGGCCTGCTTTTAAGGTGCACACCTAAATGCTGCTTTCCAGATCAGCAAATGTTCTGATTTGAGATAGGTGGGCAGGGTTTCCTTATTGCACATGATAAAATTATCTACTGTTTTCACAGTTCCTTTCAAACTATGGGCTTTGCTGTTCATGCCACTGATGTGATTTTATCCAAGAATGTGCTGCAAGAAGCATTATAGCCAAGTCTGAAAAAAGCATCCTCTGAAATAATTTTTTAAAGAACTGAATGGGCAGCTTATCCACTATATAATTCCTGGGAACCTGATATTAGTAGCATCTTATAGTAGTCTAACCTTGAGAATGAGTTCTTTATAGTAGTCTTTTTTTTCTTCTTCTCTGATCTGTTTTTGCACCCTTAAAATGTATTATTACAATGTTTGGAAAATGTATTGTTAGAAGAAATTCAGAATTTAACTAATCTATGGCTTTCTACATTACAGGATCCTGTACCTACAGGAATAAATCCCCTGAGAGGTCCCCAGGCTGGAGGAACAGTTCTAACTATCCATGGCACAAACTTAGCCACAGGTTCTATTCAAGATGTCCGTGCTTACCTCGATGAAGAACCCTGTAGAGTGTAAGTATAAGATCCCTGACCTATTCTTAATATCCCATCCTACCTTATCAGTGATGGGTTCCAGATCCCGTTGCAACCAGTACAGTGCAGGAGGACCGGGTGTCCACCACATGAATGTGCGCACATGCGCAGCACACACAGGCATACTTACTGCCTGTGATGCTCCAGCTGCTTGGCAGAGCATCGTGCAGGCGCCGTACGATCCGTGCGCAGAAGCTCCAAAAAGCTCAAATACAGGTAAGGAGTGCGGGCAGGTCGGTAGGCTCTCTGCAGCACCATATCGGAATGGTACCTGGTGCTCCCAGCAGGCACCAGTACGCCCATACCGGGGCATAACGGTTGTATCCCACCACTGTGCCTTATATACTGTTGTGCTGTTTGCATCATGTATTCCAGAATACATTCTGTCAACAGAACAATTGGTTATCTTAGCAACATTTTGTTGTTTTTGATTTAATTGTATGGTGTTTGTTTTTCAATATTCTAGTCAGCATTGACACAGGGTTAGAAGTAACTATACTCCTCGCATGTCTAATGCGATGTAAGTAAAGTAGGCATATGAACAAAACATTCCATATCTACGAAGTACCAACTTGATGAAAATATCTTGTTTAACAGTGGCCATTAGAAGTTACAATAATACTGAATGAGATTTATGACCAGTTCTTGTAACTGCAGCCATCACAGCTTCCCTGAAATAAATTACCATTATTAAGTGAGGGATTCATGTATTTATTAAAGAGCCAACATGAAAAGGAATGGAGAGTATATCACCTTCAAAGAAAAGGCATCCAGAATAGAAAGTATCAAAATATGGTGTGGCATTATGATCCTTGCCTTATCCTTTGGGTTGTTGCATATACAGAAGGTGCACAATTTAGCTCATGGTAACATTTTAAATCCTGTTACTTAACAGTAACAGATCAAAATGCCTCTTTATATATGGGCATGTTGTTTTTCTACTTCCTTATAGATCCACCATTAATCTATAACTTTCCAGGCAAGAACAAGAATACTTCAAAATACAATAGTTTTAAAATGCAACTCTTGCCTCATTTTTATAGTGTGAGTCTCTGAAAAATGGCTGTGGTGATGAGTCACAGCAAAGCCATTTGACAGGTGAATATACAGGGTTAATGAAAGATGGAAGTTACAGCTAATTATTTCTAATGGGCGACAAACAGGGGAGATATTTATCACTGCTTGGTGAATTAGAGGTGGAAAATATATTATCTACATAACTTTCAACAGTACAACAATTTGAGGTGTTTGCGGTTGTCTGGAAGAGTTCAGTAATAAATGAGTATTATCCACTTCAGAGAGTCCAGTTTGATGGAGGGGAACAGAATTGCCTTGGTTAATATGTCTTGCTATGCTTGTGGAATACTTGAATTGTCCTTCATTGAAAATTAGTTGGTTTGTATTGCTCAAGTAATTTGGTAATTAATCATGTGCTTCAGCCTTAATTAAGGAATATTTGCAATATGAGTGAATCAAGCTTTATCTATTTATCTATCACATTTGTATTCCATCTGGGTGATGCAGGAACAGTTTAGGTTCATTTTTAAGTTTTTCTACTTGGTACTTCTTAGATGATAATCTTGATACCACATTACCATTACATACATGCTTGGTTTTAGGAAGGGCTGTACATTCTCAGTCTAGTAATTTTTTTCTGAAATGCACATATCTGGAGTGCTAATATTGTTGCAATATTAGAACACCCTCAAAAACTATAATTGAAAACACAGCATGGGTTACGTTAGCAGATGTTAATGCTGATGTTGAAGAAATGCACACCAGGTTGCAGCATTATCATCAAAAGAAATATAGAAACGTTTAAATTTGGAAATATAACTTTAAATGCTATAACGATTATGTATAATATATATTATGCACACACATACTTCCATGCAACATTTCCATGGACAAGAAAGTGTTGTCAGCAAACATTGTGTATATTCTGTTATACTGCTGTCTTAAATGAGACTACAACTTGTGAGCTGGCTTTCACTCGAGAATATGTCTGGTCAGTTCAGACATAAAAGGAGACAATATTCTGTGAATTCTCAAGCAGTTTAATGGAAAGAGATAAGATTGAAACAATATAAAAGAATGAATGAATCAATGAATGAATGGACGAACGAATGAACGAACAAACCCATAGAGCCGAGGTGGTGCAGTGGTTAGAATGCAGTACTGCAGGCTACTTCTGCTGCTTGCCAGGTGCCAGCAGTTTGGCAGTTCAAATCTCACTGGCTTAAGGTTGACTCAGCCTTCCATCCTTCCAAGGTGGGTAAAATGAGGACCCAGATTGTTGGGGGCAATAGGCTGGCTCTGTAAACTGCTTTAGAGAGGCCTGTAAAGCACTGTGAAGCAGTATATAAGTCTAAGTGCTATTGCTATGAAAGGCCATGCTGAAACTGAAAAAAAATTATATTGAAATAACTTCTATCTATGATACTGGCATTTTCTTTTTTTTAAAAAAGATATCCCAGTATTATTGAACAGCTTGCTGATCATAGAATCATAAGTCACTTCTTTGGGTATTTTAAGTAAGATGGTTTAGGTATGCAAAAGCCAAAGTGGACACTTGCAGACATCATTAATGCTCGCCCATTCTTAATTGGTAATGTCTTTTCCTAACTAAAAATGAAGCGTTTTTTTAATCCTCTCCCTTTCACACTGAGCAAAATTACTATAATCTAATGGTAAAGCTAAATCCCAGACTAAATTGGACTGAAGCAGATATCCGGAAAGCATAAATAAATTGTAGAGTAATGCTGTGTTCTCTTCCCCCACAATAAGACACCTGTTTGGGTGGTGAAGGTGTTTTCTCAGGCAAATGATTTTCCTAATTCACTCTTTCTTTTTGAAACTCCTCCTTTCCTTTATCTAGATGTGAAACCCAAAATGGGTTAGTTAGATGTCTTAGTGAACTTGATAAAAAGTTATTTTATTGTTGTTTTTTTTCCCTTTCCTCTACTCTTAAATAGTATCTCATTTGGGCAAGAAATTGTTTGTGTTACTGGACCAAACAGCAAGAAGGGGCCTGTTTCTGTAACCTTACAGCATGGAAACACCAAAAAAGAAATACAAAATGTACAATTTACCTATAGTGAAAACCCGACTGTTAGCAAGATCACTCCTGAAGTCAGCATTCGCAGGTAATAAAATGGTTCTGTTATAAAAAATATGCTCGGGTTTAATTAGATTTTTCCCCCCAGTGTAATTATTAGATAACTACTATTTTAGTTCTTGGCAGTCATAATAAATGTAACATAATTGTATCTTCCTTCTAAAATAAAAGTCATCAACTTCAGGGAAGGTAAATGTTTTCATCCATTTAAGAATTGATGAAAAAATTATCAAGCGCTTGTGTGACTGCTTACTTCACCTGAAAAAAGAAAAATTACCGATTTACAAAATTAAAGAGAAAACATTCAATGTGATCTTTAATATAGGAAGCTGTTTAAACTATGTTAAACATTGGCCCATATGGTTCAGTTCTGTTTATGCTGGGTAACAGTGCTTCCGCAACACTTCAGTTTAGGGCAGTGCCCCCTCAGCATTGAAAATTCTAAAATGTGTGTATTTCAACTCTCTGAATTCCTCAGCCAGCATAGGAGAACTCTGGTAGTTGAACTCCACACATTTTTGCTAAAGTTGTGAAACACTGTTCTTAAATTTTTTATCAGTTATATCTGGAGACCAAACACAGAAATATGTGAAAACCAAAAGAATCTTGATGTTAACTGTATAATTGAAGTTAATTTTTTTTTTAAGAAATATACTTTGTCCATAAGGTTTACCTGGATGTTTTAAATTTTGTACTTCACAATTTTGAGTTTATTTTTCTAATTAGTGAGACTCGGGGTTGTTGCTGGATAGCATAATAAAAATAAAAATCCTATGCCAACCAAGAGCAACTGAGAATCAGGGACATGGATGTACGCCATGCATCTACAACTATGTGGGTTTTTTGTTTTTTTTGACAGAATATCTGTTTGTTTTATCAGTGGTGATATGTAGTAACACAAGCAACTAATAAACATAATAAACCAGGTTATGATATCATATGCAGGGGGGGAGTCATAATTTATTTTTTAGTTATGTTACTGACTTTCTGTTATAAGAAAAAGAGCAAAAAGCTGGCATACCATTATTTGGAAAATGTCATCATTAATTCTTCTGGTGGCTCAGATTACTTTTAAAAAGAAAGATGTATGATAAAATAACTTATCTAAAAACTAAGTCTACTTTTAATGATACTCTTCTATTATCTACAAACAAGATTCAGTGTAGAATAAAAGCAAGCTAGGTATGTTCAAATACCTGTCTAAAATCAGAAAAGATACATTATGTTATTTCTAATTTTGTGTGTTTTAGTGGAGGACGAAATATTACTGTACTTGGTACTGGGTTTGATATCATTCAGAAGTTCTCTGTGGAACTTAAATTCAAGCCTTTTGCAGATATATCATCAAGGAGGAGGAGGAGGAGGAGACAAATAGAGAGGCATCAAAAGGTATATTTTATCCTTTCTTTCAAAATACTGTCTAGCTTTGGAATAAGCAAAGTGATAGCACTTAGACTTACATACCACTTTACAGCACTCTTTGAATACTTTATAACAGCAGCATCTTGCCCCGAACAATCTGACTTCTCATTTTACCAATCTTGGAAGGATGGAAAGCTTAGTCAACTTTGAGCCCATCAAGATCAAACTCTAGGCTGTGAGCAGAGTTAGCCTGCAATACTGTATTTTCATCCCTGCTCCACCAGAGTATTTGGAGTCATACCTCCAATATTTTGATGTAGTGTAGATGCAAATGATCAGGTATTTCAGGATTGTAGTCAAAAGCCTCTAGAATTCCCACTATCCTGAAAAGGGATTAATCTTACCCCATGTTTCCTGTATTCAAGGCAAAATTTAATTAATTTTAGGGATGTGACAACCATTCATTTAGTGACAGATCAAAGCAACCAAAACATCCAAGTAATTGAAATATTACAAATACCAAATATTAAAATTATATTTAGAATAGGAAAATAATTGAAATTGTGTGTCCTAATGTTTCAACCATTTTATAAAGTTCAAATTTATGTTGCAGTTTTTTTTCCTAACTGAACTTTTAAGGAATTACATTTTATCACATCTTAAAGAAATTTAGTTATCAGAAGATATTCAGTCCAAGGTAAACCCACATATAAGTGTGTTTCTTTCATTGTTTAGCCGGGTGGGGGGGAGCCCATTGATTTAGTAGGAATATCTTATCAAAAATCATTTATAAAATTCATATATTCAGGTGGTGAAAACCAATTGTACTTCTATTTTCATCATGCAATGCATTTTTCAGCTACTCTAAAACATCCTGAAGGTATTACAGATTTTTACAAACTACAATAAAAATACACTAAAATTTATGAGATTATTTGACGGCTTACGGTACTGGTTTCCTTTTCAGATACAAAATACATAATTTATAAATAGTAACAGGCAGTATTCTTTTCCTTTTGTTTTTCTTTAGTTTGAAGGAAAAACCATCTCAAAAATCAATGACACTGCATTAGTCTTCTTATCTCCACCAGTTCTGGAGGATCCAGAGCTTTATCAAATTTTTATACTTATTAAAATGGATGGTCATGTAGTGGAGCGTCAAGACTTTCAATATGTTGCTGATCCAACTTTTGAAAACTTTACTGATGGAGTCAAAAAGCAGGTCAACAAACTTATTCATGCAAAGGTAAATACTGATTTTTATGCTATGTGCTTGATTTTTTTATTATGACCTAGAATTTTTTAATAGATTTATCCTGATATTGTTTATGTGAATCCCATGGTCCTACAAGATTAACTGAGTAAGCAAAGCAATAGTTTATAAACAAGATCCAGCTTAGTGGAGGTGGTACCTAACACTACGTAAATTAAATCAAATAGATGTTAAATATACAAATATTTGTTGGTGTGAGAAAAAGGTTGGAACATATAAACATACGTGATGGGATTGTGATAATGCACAAAACATATGGGGCATGGTGTTTAGGGAAATTGGAGCACTTTTGAATGTAAATTTAGATATGTCACCGAGGATTGCATTACTGTTGCTGGTGGGAAAATAGGATATAAACAAAACAAAAAAGGAATTGATTGTAAATTTGATAATGGCAGCCAGATTAGTGATGGCTAAATATTGAGGATGAAATTGGGGTATTCAAAGAAATGAGTGGTATAATGAAATTTGGAATATGGCAACAAATGATAAATTAACAACATAAATTAAATTTTAAAGGGGATGATTACAGTAAACAATGAAATATGGGGGGGGGATTTTATAAAAACAGTTTTGGTGGAAGGCAAAGGAAATAAACCTACTCAAAAATATATGGTATGTTGTTTTTGAGGGGATAAGGGCATAAATAGAATATATTGTATATCTTTTAGTTCTTATAGAAGAAGAAATGTAAGGGAAAATGGTCTCAGTGGGGTGCACAGTAATATTTGTATTTTTTCCTCTTTTTGTATTTAGATTTATATGTATTATGTTTGTATTATTTGTATTCAAAATAAAAAAATATTATTAAAAAAACCAAGATCCAGCTTAGCCACAGACTCTAGTAAGTCAACTGCATTGAGTATCTTGATTTAATATAGTTATAAACTCAGTCCTTGCCTTTTATGATAGACATATACAATAGGCTAATGTATTGATCGTAAAATGTTTCTTTTCCATTGCTCCTTGTACCCATAAACCCTACTTTGAAAAAGATTTAAATTAGCAAATAACTAAAGTGGCTCATTTTGTTTTTCTATCTAGGGTAGTAATCTGAACAAAGCGATGACAATCGATGAGGCTCGTGCATTTGTAGGAGAAGAACCCTGCAACATAACAACTCTAACTGAGAAGGATTTATATTGTGAACCGCCTGAAGATCAACCTCTACCCAAGCGCAGGCAAAAAAGAGATACGGTCAACAACCTTCCAGAATTCATCGTAGGTCACATGTTTCTATATTTTTTAGCAATATGATGTAGAACAGGGGTGTCAAACACAAGGTCTAGGGGTTGGATCTGGCCCACGGGGTGCTTAGATCTGGCTCGCAGGGCCATCCTGGAAACAGTAAAGGACCGGCCTGCAGTACCTCTGTCATGGAGCTTGGGAGGGCCACACATGGACCTCCCTAGCTCTATGTTCACTGGCAGAGGGTTGCAGGACACCATCACAGCCAAAAACGGAGCTCAGGAGTCTGTTTTTGCTGGCAGAGCGCTTGGGCCACCACAGACACCCCCAACATGAGTGATGTCAAGCTGGCCATGCCCACCTTGGCCATACCCATCCTGGTCCCCCGAGGTTAAACACAACCCTGATGGGGCCCCCAATGAAATCGAGTTTGAAAGCCCTCATATAAAATTTAATACAAAAAGTTGCAATTATAAATAATTTTGGTTTTCTCTTAAAATTTATTCAACACGAATCCCAATTCCATTTGCTATTACCTATTTTCAACAAACCACAAGGAAATTGTTGCCTTTCTTTGCCTAAACCACCTACAATCGAGGTCTACAGATTTTCAGATTCCCAATTATCAAGTTGATGATGATTACCGAATTCTGCAGGATGTTGATTTGGGCAAGGTTTCTATAGGCTAAAATTTTGCTTGCATTCAAGTTGTCACCTCAATGAAACACAATAGCATCCCTGGAATCTTCACAATAGCATCCCTGGAATCTTCAATCACATAGTAAAGTGTCAAGTCCTCTTTATGTGAATTCAGCAGGCATCTCATCTGGACAATTCATGTTAAGCCAAGCTGACAAGTGATGACCACAATAAAAATTTAATTTGAGAGTGAAACACTCTGTCTGGATTCATTCCTAGCATTAAGCATAGGGTGATCTGTTCAATGTTAGCACTGTATTCTGCCATTGTGATTTATAAACTCTAGTTTCTGCTTAACATGTGTGATAATTAGTCCAGTTTGGTATGTTCAACAAATCATGTTTAAAACCAAATATGGTTTAGCATTTTGTTTTTATTGTTTTTTATACATTGGGTCATCAATTAACTTTCTGGGCGACCACTTTCTCTCTTTGAATTTGCCTACCCAATTGCCATTTATATGGACATGGCCAAATCTTTTCAATCTGGTAGTCCATATATTTCTTGCTTTTCTGATTTATATTATTTTTAAAATTTGTCACAAAATGTCTTAAATGGTCCATCACTATTAATTTGTTTATAAAACTTTCATACTGTTTCATTCACAATATACTCCTAGTAGTTTTGGTGAATCTAAAAAGATCTGTTTAAATTCTCTCTTTGACATTGTTTTAGTTGATTTCATGTTCTTGTGATTCTTGTTTTCATCTGGAAACTGTTTTAAGTGCCCTGAATGGGCTGAAAGTCTGTTGCTAACAATGGATATAATTAATCATTTTAAAAAACATTATAATTTGGACTAAATTCAACCTGTATTTCTATATTTCTTATGTATGGTCATATTCCATTTCATTAATTATTGTCACTTTGCTATCTTGTAAGAAGTGATTTTCTTTCCCAAACTGGTACATTCCAGATGTGTTGGTGCCATTTCTTCAAAACTGTTGTCTACACTAGCTGGTAATTCTGAAGGTTTAATCCCAATACATCTGGAATGTGAATTGCATACACCAATGAGCTTTTATTATTTTGGTTCTTTTAAATTGCCCAAATAGTATATAACTAAGCATTGAATGCTTATCAAAATCTGTATATTTAAGAATTGCAATTTTCTCCCTAGGTAAAATTTGGCTTCAAAGAATGGGTCCTAGGAAGAGTGGAATACACTCAAGTCAGCGATGTACCACTGAGTCTGATCTTGACATTGGTAATTATCCCCATGGTGGCCATTATCATCATCTCAGTCATTTGCTACAGGTAAGTTTTTATTGTCATCAGCTGTTCTACAAATAATAAAGGCAAAACTGATTTTCTGAGAAAAATGTGGGAGGAATCTAGGCAGGCAAGGCTTTCTTTCTTCCCTAAACTTCTCACAGCAGTTACAGAATTTTCTCTAAGGATTTAAGGAACAATCCAGAATAGATATAGGAGCTTTTCTTAACTGGCTATTTTCTGACCATATCACACTAAATTGTGCTGGAGAAAGCAAGATAACCTCTTGTTATATATCTTTTCAAGGCAGCTGGTTTTCATTCACATCATACTAAAAATAATGAAAGGCAGGCTTTGGTTTTCTCCTGCAAGGAACTACTCCATAAAAGAAAATGTGCAACATATTACTTGGAAGATGTATGCGGATTCTGTAGCTAGGGTATTGAGTTTATCCACTCCTGCTCTCAGGGATCTTTGCTAGAAACATCTTTATTGATTTTTGTTCCTTGAACGTGTTTATTTCCAAAATACTTTAGGCATCACAATTCTTGCATATTATGATTTCATTGCACACAAACATATCCTATGAGTTACTTCCAAGCTGTCTTTTCCATATCGTAATTTTAACATCCATGTGTTAAAAATTGTATTATTTTCTCTCTGGTCTTGTAGATTTATAGAAAAAAAACATATATTTAGGGGAGGAGAAATGAAAACATGACATGATATTTACATGTGTGTGTATTAAAAAGTTGAATTAATCTGGTTGTTGAGATCCATATTGGTTAAAAAATATCACTCTGAATATTGTTTAAATTCATAAACAAATTTGGTGAAAGCTAGAAATAATTGTAACCTAAATCACAACAATGTACTTTTGATAAAATATAATCCTGTACTTCTAAAGATACTTCTACTGTTATAAAATGATTTGTTTTTAGAGTTTGCAACTTTTCTGAACTTCTCTATTCCTTATAGACGGAAAAGCCAACAAGCAGAACGAGAATACGAAAAAATTAAATCACAACTCGAAGGCTTGGAGGAAAGCGTCAGAGATCGGTGCAAAAAAGAATTTACAGGTATGACTGATGCTGGATTTCTTAGAATTCTCCGGAGAATTCACAAGATGTATTGAATGCCTACTATTGTCTGCTTTAAACTGTCTTTAGAGAATGTGCAGGAAGCAAAAACATTTTTGATTACTATGTTAACTTAAGTACGGCTTACTCTTCTGGCAAATGATCCAAAAGCTATCCATAAAAAGATAATGTATTTTAAGCATTTACTGCGTTTTTAAAGTAGAAATAAAATAGTATATATCAAGAACTAAATCACTGATAATAAAATCCTCAAGATGTTTCTCTTAGGACATAGTAAATCAGTTTGTATTTCAACAGAAAATGGATTAATATTTGAAAGTTATGTTCCTGTTGACTAAAGGGGAAAAAGTAAAATATCTTTTGAAATGAGCCCAGTTACTAGTGATTCATGGACTCATCCAAGTAGGATTCTTTACAACAATGAAGGTTTTGTCATTGCTGCCTTCTGGGATATTTTTTTCAGTACATTAATTGCCATAGTATTTCCTGGTCATCTTTCATATATGAACTAACAAGGTCATTACTTGCTCAGTCTTTTGAGGACAGACAAGGCTGATCAGCTTCACAACCAGCTTCTCAGCTGGATAGGGTGGGTTCCAAATATTATTTAATTTGTAGAAGTTTAGTTTTGCAGAGTTTTAGACTGCAGGAAAAAAATCTGATAAAATAGAACCAAATAGAAATTATTTCTTTGCAGTTACAGACCTTGTTGTTCCTGGAAAATGACCAGGAAATATTAGGGCAGTTAATAGACTGGATCACTGAAAATATAACCCAAAAGGCAGAAAAGACAAGCCTTTGTTAAAGAAGCATCTCTTTACCCAAAGTACAGTACTGTATCTTATGTTAATAAAGAATAAAAATCATTTTTATATATCTAAGATAGAAATCAAAGTAGAAATATGCTATCAATCCAGTTTTCAACAAGATATAAGTAATGCAGCCTAGATCACATTTAGGCATATGGTGTTTGTGTCAATTTAACACTTCACAATCTGGAAGTGGCTTATCTGAAAACTTCCATTTGTAAGAATTTTAGACATAATGATTTCACAGTTCTGGAATTTCAAAGTGCACACATCTGTCTTGAATCTATTGTGCTCATTATACATTCTAGCTGGCATATTTTGAAGCAGGCGAAGAAATTCTCACCTCTTTGACTCATGGATACCATCTATGTATGAGATTTATGTGCTGGTTCTTTGCCCATAGCAGTTCTAACTCATGTTTGGGAATTTGGGGGAAATCATATTGTTGATTTAATTTGGCACTATGCTGCACCCTCAGCAATGACTTCAGCCTACCTAAAGCCATAAAATTGTCATAGGCCTCATAGATCATTTTTGACTTTCAATCATTTGGAGGATGGTCTAGATCCATGATGGCGAACCTATGGCACGTCTGCCACAGGTGGCACCCAGATCCCTCTCTGCGGGCATGCCAGCCATCGCCCAGCTCAGCTCCACCACTGATGGGCGTGCACCTCCCGCTGGTCAGCAGATTTTTGGGTCTCTGCCTCACATGCGCAGGGGCTGGGGGGCATGTGTGAGATGTGCGCTCATGTGCTGCGGGGAGTGTCAGCTCATTTTTGGTCATAGGAGGCTGCAGGGAGCCCTGCTAGGCCCAAGGTGGGGCACGGGGATCACATGCACATGGCTGGGGGAGGCGTGGGTGGTATGCGTGCATGCACAGGGGACGGGGGCATGTGTGTGCTTTTGGCACATGACAACAAAAAGTGTTGTGTGCCAAAAAACAACAAAAAACTTGTGATTTATTACACAAGTAGAGCCCAAATCATGTTGTATGTATTATACTGAAGCCAGTTTTTTCTTTAGCATAAGGTACAAAGATATATTTTTGCCTAATAGGAAACATTCCGGTATAACAGTGGTTCCCAAACTTGGCAACTTTAAGACTTGTGGACTTCAACTCCCAGAATTCTCCAGCCAGCAGAGCTGGGATTTGAAGTCCACAAGTCTTAAAGTTGCCAAGTTTGGAAACCACTGCGGTATAATAATATAATCCTTACTAATTATGTATAGTTCCTGCTCTCTTTTGCCTTGAAATTTGAAATTACTTTTCTTCTTTGATCTTTTTTCTTTCCACTGGTTATTCAGTTCCACTATCCAGTTCTTTGTCAACAGATGAGTACATTTGGGCCACTACCAGCCCAAAATCTCTTGTAGGTGCTAAATTGTTCACTGAACAGTCAATTTCTTATTTTTTTATTGCTATAGTCAACAGAAATTTCTGAGGTGGCAGGTTATTAGATTAATTAACTTGAAGATCTTGTCAACAGTGCAGACATCTTCTAGTATAAGTGAACAAAGTAATTGTCCCCTGTGTCAAATTTAAAAGAAATTGGATTGACCTAATGTGTTTTCCCTGATCTTTGTTAAATCACAGATATCAATCTTAGCTCTGCTGACCACTAACATACATATTGTTACTAAAATTAACATATTTGTTAATATAACAGAATTATGAAAACAGCATCTATGCTGCTAGACTTTTCTTGCCTCGCATGCTTTTAGTTATCTGCAATATTTCAGGAAAGAAATATGTTTACTTGTGAAAAGAGGGAAGGAAAGAGAACTCACCCTTGGATTCTAATTACTACTTTTCCTACAATAGCTCCAAACTAATATTTATGATAAATAGAATTTGAGTCACACTTCACAGTTCTGAAAGGAGACTTTTTTCTTTATAATGACTATATTGTATTACCCCCTGTGTGTGTTTGTTATAGAAAAGCTAAGAGGTTTTCCTTGGTTTCTCATAATGTTAGGTTTTTCTATCCTATTTCCATCCCTATATACTGTATTTTTCAGAGTATAAGATGCACCGGAGTATAAGACGTTAGGTTTTGAAGAGGCAAATTTAAAAAAAAGGTTTTTGCACTCTGCAAACATCCCCAAAATAGCCCGTTTTTTGCGAAAATTCAAGAATATCCCTTAGGAGGCTTGTAGAGTGCTCTGGGGGGAAGGCAAAAATGAGCAAAAACCGGCCCATTTTTTGTGAAGTGAAGCCTTTAGGAAGCTTATAGAGTGCTCCGGGGGGGGGCACAATTGAGTAAACACAGGGCCCTTTTTCGCTCATTTCTGCCCTCCCCAGCCCCCAGGAGCTCTCTGAAAGCCTCCTACAAGCCATGAACAACCATTTTGGTGAAGGGGGCGGGGTTTGGGGAGGCAAAAAAGTGCTGCATTTAGTGTATAAGATGCATCCAGATTTTCAGCCTCTTTTTTGAGGGAAAAAGGTGTGTCTTATATTCTGAAAAAAACCTATATATATCAGAGGTGGTATTCAGCCGGTTCGGACCGGTTCACCCAAACTGGTACCGGACATTGTGGTTGGGCCTGCCCACCTGCCCCAGCTCTATGCCGTCCTATTTAGGCACATTTTTGAGGCCGGGCATGCATGCATGGCGAACCAGTGATAAAATGTGAAACCCACCACTGATACATACACTATATTGCCAAAAGTATTTGCCCACATAATCAGACTCAGTTGTGAGCGAATACTTTGGCAATATAGTGTATGTGTGTAGATATGGATGGAAATACTCTCACACACAGTTCTCAACTTAAAACCATTCATTTAGTGACTATTTGAGGTTACAATGGCACTGAAAAAATGTGACTTGCAACCAGTCCTTGCACTTAAGACTGTCTCATCATCCCCAAGATGACATGATCAAAATTTGGGCAGGTGGCAACTGGCAGGGATTTATAGTAGTTGAAAGACTTGAATCATGTCATTGCCATTAGCAACTTTCCCAACCAGAATTCTCGAAGTCAGTGATCAAAGCCATATTCACGTAATCACTGCATGGTGTACTTAAAAATTGCAATGATTCATTTAATAACTCTGGCAAAAATAATTTTAAAATCAAGTGCAATTCACTTAACCACCTTGATTAGCAACAGAAGTTCTGGTCCCAATTATGGTTGTAAGATAAGGACTATTTGTAACATTGACATATGAACCCTTTCTGTAATCTTATTATACACACATACATACACACAAACATACAGTATATGTATGTATACACAAACTAGAGGTGATATTCAGCAGGTCCTGACCAGTTCTAGAGAACTGGTAGCAAAAATTTTGAGTAGTTCGGAGAACCGGTAAATACCGCCTCTGACTGCCCACACCCCCATCTCTTCTCTGCCTCTGGAGTCCCAGCTGATTGGGAGGGAATGGGGATTTTGCAGTAACCTCCCCCTGCCACGCCCACCAAGCCACACCCACCAAGCCTTGCCCACAGAACCAGTAGTAAAAAATTTTGAATCCCACCACTGACACAAACACAGATACATACCCACATACATAAATACATATACACACACATACTCATACATAC